TGCTGACCCCCTTTCTTTTATGGGAACAGTAACCAAACCTCTCAGAACCACAGCTCACAGGCAAGGAGGCAAGGCAGTATTTAGCAGGAATTAGAAATGCACTGGATTGGTGCAGCCCAGCTGCTGGTAAAGGAGATTATCTCACTAGTAATGACTCTTGAAATGCTTGGCAAGGTGTAACTGGATTGGTTAAGAGAGTACTAGCAATTGGGTGGAACAAACCACTTCTGATATTGTAAGCATGTGTGCCAGTCTGTGCTTTACAGGCAGACCGGAATAACACTGCCTGAAGCCAACTCTACTGTAAATTTTCTAGATCAATGTTCTGCCTGCAAGACTTCTCTTCAAACACAATCCCAGCTGTGAAATGAACTCTGTGAAATAGGAAAGTGGAATGGGAAAGACTTTGTTCTCTTTTTAATTAGGTTTTTAATAATAATAATTAAAAAAAAAGAAATATTCTGCTATGATTTTTAGGACAGTAGTAAAACTGGCAAGAATGTTTACTATGTGAAACCCATGAATCAGATCAGTAAGAGCAGTTAATTATTCACTCCCTGCTTACAACAGATAATCATTCCCACTTATGGGGCATGCAGCCTCCTCTAGGCTCAGTAAGCTCCCATTAATCTTCAGAATCTGAAGCACAAAAAAGTCACATGGAAACACTTCTGTAAACATAAGCAACTGGGCTACAAAGATGATTAAGGGACTGAAGCATCTGACAGATAAGGAAAGGCTGAGAGAGCTGGGACTGTTCAGCCTGGGAAAGGGAAGGCCCAGGGGGGCTTATCAATGTGTATAAATATGTGATGGGAGGGAATGAAGAAGAGGAAGCCAGGCTTTTCTCAGTGGTGATCAGTGACAGGACAAGAGGCAATGGGCACAAACTGAAACACATGAAATTTCATCTGATAACAAGAAAGCACTTTTTTTACTGGTCAAACACTAAATGATTCCATGAATTTCTAATCAAGTTTTAACATTTTTCTATTTATTCAAAATTTCACTACCTGATTCTTCTTAACACTCAGGTCTTACATACCTCCTACCTGATGATTTTACCCTATACTTTATATATTTATGAGCAACTATGTATCTGAAACAATTTTAAAAAGTGAGCACAACTGATTGTTTTGGTTTCTAGCCCAGGCTGCTGCTATTTTTTGTCATGATAAAGATCATACAAGTTCTTCAATTACACTGCCATTTGTTGTTAACCAACTAAATGCCATAGTACTCACCACAGGCATTTGATCAAGGGTGCAAATAGTGGACAATTTATCTACAAATAAGCAGAAAATTTGTTCCATTGGTATAATTTCAATATATAATCACTACTTCTATTGAAAAACAGTTATGAAAACCCATTCCTACCTTCTGGATTTCCACAAATAAGCTCCATCTTGTCTTGAAGAATATTAATTTGCCTTTCCAGATGTTTGTTCAATGCTACTTGTGTCTCATATCTGGTTTTCCATGCATTACCTTAAAAACAAATATAGCTTATTTTATTTCCCAGATTATTTCATGCCACTTCAAGCAAAAGTTAGCATTTTTCCAAACTGTTCCCACTTCTTTTTCTGGACATGGCAAAAGTCTCCAGTTAGTAACCCTCATAATGAGGATCTTTGCATACAAAAGAGCTTGAAAATATAAATCAAGGGAACTTTTCAGTGGGTTTACTGTGGCCAGAATATTAACTAACTCAAAGAATTCATGTTGTTCATAGTTTTGAAAATAATTAACCAAAAAAAAGCTATGATGGTAGCATGCAGCATTCCTTAATTTCACATTTGCAACTTCACACCTATGATAGTCATGTTTGAAAAAGGAAAAATTAAATTTCTAAATAAAAATGTGTATCTCTCTAAGGCCTTCCCAAAAGAATTAGTTTTCTAATCAACTAGCAATACTCTGGTGTAATTCACTTACCTTCGTCTTCAACACTGCTAAGTCTTTTTTCCAGTTCTGTGAGTGTGTTTCTCAGTTCAGATATTGAGATTTCAAGCATTTGCCTGTGGTATTTAGAGAAGTCAATAAATTGGCTACTGCATTATCTTATTATTAATATAAAAAGAATAAATTGAATAGATTTTAAGCTGAACTATCTATTGCTCATTAATATGTTGTTGCACCATCTTATCCATGGGGTTTTTTTAATGTAATTTTGCATATGGATTCTACAGTGCTTTAAAAAAATAAAAAATAAAAAAATAGAAGCATTTCTACTTTATGAAAAAAAAAAAGAAGACCAAAATTTCCTAAAATTTAGTAACTGTCTAGCAGATTGTGAGAATTAAATGTAGAGAGGACACTGGCCTTCATTTTTCACCCAAGGAGTATGTTGCCATTTTTTGGAACAGGAAGATGCCTGAGAGATAGGCCATTTGAAATTCTGAATGAATTCTTCATTTAGACTCACTGCTCAGTGTTTAATAGTAATTTTCTAAATTGTACCCTTAACAAAACCAATCAAAGCACACCATGCATTATGACTATCAGAAAAGAAAGCCAGTGATTAAACTGAGTGTTACAAAAATATGTAAGACCTAAAGCCATTCCCTTCAGTACCTTAATCTTGCAGGGAAATATATTTGTACCCATTGATTACTTCTGTGTACTGGTTGGGCAGCCAGACCACTGACATGTATCATGGAAACTGGCCTCTGTCTGCCTTGGAAGGTATGACCAGAAGCAGAAGCTAGCAGAGGACTTGGATGAGAGCACAACTCACCTGCACGCATCTGACAATGATGTGCTGAATGACTCTCATCCTTGTAAATATTAAGATAGCAGTTCAGTGGGCTACAGTGGATCATATGATCTTGATAAAGGTTGGGCTTGTTCTGAAGAAAAGAAGGCTCAAGGGAGACCTTACAACAGTCTTCCAATACCTAAAGGGGACCTACAAGAAGTCTGCAGAAAGACTTTTTACAAGAGCATGTGGTGACAGGAATGGCTTTAAACTGAAAGAGGGTAGATTTAAGTTAGACATTAGAAAGAAGTTCTTTACTGTGAGAGTGGCCAAACACTGGAACAGGCTGCTCAGATAAGCTGTGGCTGCCCCATCCCTGGAAATGTTAAAGGCCAGGTTAGATGAAGCTATGAGCAAGCTGGTCTAGTGGCGTGTGTCCCGGCCCATGGCAGGGGGTTTGGAACTAGATGATCTTTAAGGTCTCTTCCAAACCAAACCATTCTATGACTCTGCGGTTCTACAATCACACCAAGAGGAATATTCTGCTGACCAAATTACTGACCATACTTATGCCAACAACTTCTTTGGAGATGTTTATGAAAAATATTCCTGCCTGTGAGATCTGAGGAACACAGCCTACACCAGCATAGGTGCAAGCAAAACACAATGCACCAAGACACAACAGCAGTTTGTAGTTTTGTCCTTTAAAGTTAAGTTTTGAAGGCCAAGATTTCAAAAAACAGCCAATGGTTCTTGGGTGCCTCCAGTTTTCAGCACCCAAATTGAGATTTTTCAAACACAACTCTGCAAACAAGGTCCTTTGGTAAATGCTTTACAATATCATATGATGATAAGTATCTTTTGAATCATAGCCTAGTTCATAAAGCATGCAAGAGAGAAAATCATTGTGCTGATCTATTTTTTGGTGGGTATTTTTTTTCTGTTTTAAAGGGCAGCTTCCATGCCAACATGGATCATCTTTTTCTGAACACGTTCATAATGAAAAATGCTTTTAAAGATGCAGTTCATTAGCCTATGAGAAATTAAAGCTCTGATGATGGAGCTGATTACTGAGAAATGGCATCACCTCTTGCACTCCTCATCCTCACATTCAGTTGGTAACATTTCTATAGCTTGAAACATCAGATTTCAACTGAAAGCTGCAGAAGCAGAAGCAAACCAACCAATCTTAAGAAACAGAGGAGGTATGCCTGGTATATAGAGGGCTGAAGAGCTGAAATGGCAAAGTAATGTAAAGAAGAGTAATTTAAGGTAATTCAAGTAAGTTTTCAGTGCAAGAAACACACTGCAGCACAGTAAGACTGAGATCTCAAATGGCAGGGGAGAACTGGGTCTCCCTCCTTGCTCCATTGCTCTTTTTATCTCTACTAATGTCAAACTAGAAAGGAGGGACATAGACAAAAAAATTAATGAAAGTACTAGTAACTTGCTGGAGACAAAAAGGGTGTGGAGAAAGCCCCAGCAAAAGAGAGTTGGGACACATGAGACAAAAAGCTTAGATGCAGGAAAACCAAAAGAAATTTGATTGCTGCTGCTCCCTGTTTGCTCCCATCCCAACAAAAGAGGCAGACAGCTAGGAAGAAAAAAGACAAAATCTTATTACACTGCCGGTATCATTCCAATACAAATAGATAAGGTTTCTGTAAAGCACTTCTTTTTTCAACCTGTGCTTGGAAAAGAGGAAATTATGATGACAGTGAGTGCTAAAATGGGATTTTTGAAGGAAATAACACTGAAAATTAGACACTGTTAAAGTTGTAACTAGAGCTGAGCTGTATCAAAGTGAAAGTGTTTTATTTTTCATAGAAATCTTAAGTAGGTGCTTGGATGTAGAGAGATAACACAGGAAAAAATAGTTCCTTAAATCCAGTGTTTTCAGTTTTTAGTTTTTGTTACCATTCCAAGACTACATACAAGATTTCCTACATTAGATTTTATTACTCCTTCTGCACCATTAGCAAAACTGCCAGCCAACTTCCACTTACATTTTGTCCTG